ACCTTGGCCTGCATCAAGCCTGTCTCGAACTTGGAATGGTTGGTCGGTTTGTACAAGGCACGTCTCACCCGCGATTCCAAGCGGGGTCTCGGCCGACTCTGGCCTATTGAGAATCAAGCCGACGGCCGGCACTTTTGTTGAGATTTGTTCGAAGCATCAGTGAGACCATCTTCATCCCGATCGGCTGCGCCATCCCAATTTTGTTATCGATCATCATCTGAGGGACGAGTTCACAGCGTTGGATCCCTACCCCGCGACTCCGGATTGACCCCCGCGGTAGTGGATAACCACCCCGGAGATGTATGCGGGGAAGCTCACTCCAACGAGCCAGATCAAACATCACAGGGGTCTAAGGCGGAGGTTGGACCTTCCAACTTGGAAATCACTGAGGACCTTGGGGGCGGTACCTTGTCATGTCTGAGCTGGGTACGGTTTCCACGTAGACAGTGGATCATGCTCCTCTGGTTTCTTTGCTTTGGACATATTCGCCTCCCACTGACGCGAGACTTCCCACCACATAGAATCATGAGATGTTGATCAGATTCGAACTACACGAGCATGTTCTGTTATCCATATCTCTAGTCATTTGACAGATCTTCAGCCTACGTGTCGTTCGAGCCTAATCGGTATCATGTAGCTCTCTGAGGAATGCATCCAAGTCAGCCGGCAATACTATCCGCCATATTTCTTTACCCTTCAGACCTAAATCTACTTGTGACCTCAGAGACCGGGATTATGCGATAGCCGACCGGCTCGCGTGTCCTTTCCGACGACCAAGGCTCCGAGATCAGAGCAGCTGCGTGAGCATCTGCCCATTAGCCTCCTCGAACTACCCCAGACCCACGGCTCCCGCCATTTCTCCGCATCAGTGACTGCGGGGGAGGGGACGATATCCGGAGACCTGGCATCGGTTGTGGGACTAGGTCGGAGAATACGCCGATGGGCCGAGGTGCTGCTTGTATTTAGGTCTGGTCACATCGAGTCCTCGCATAGATCTCGTCCGAGGTTGTGAGAGGCAGCTTACTCTTCTACTCTCTGTCCATCTGATTTGACGATCTTCAACCATCATGTCGCGCTCAGGAGTCAACAAGGACTCAGGCAAGGATCCTCAAGTCGAGATGCTCGACGACGCCGTCAAGCCAAATTCTGCCGACGATGTAGTTATTCAGGATCGCGAGCTAAAAGAACGGCGGCTAGTGCGAAGGATAGACATTCGAATGTAAGCGCTGTCCTGCATTCAACTCTGTTCAAGAAATGTGCTGACCAGATGTCCAGGATGCCGTTAATGATGCTACTCTATAAGTCTCGTCTTCCAGGAGCTTCTCTTACAACATACTGACATTTCGTGGGCACATGTTCTCAACTACCTGGACCGTAACAACGTAAGACCAGGCTTTCTTTGTATATGATTTATCTAGGCACGAACGTACTAATAATCATGATATGTAGATTGCGACCGCAAGACTTGGCGACTTCGAGAAGGATATTGGCTTGGTTGGCACCCAATACAACACCATCATCAGTGTCTTTTTTGTTGGATATATCTTGACTCAGGTGCCGACAAACATGATCTTGAATAAGATGCGACCGAGTATATTCTTGCCTGTCGTCATGTGCTGTTGGGCGGTGGTCAGTGCCTCAACAGGTGCGGTGCAGAACTATACTGGTGCAGTTGTACTTCGTTTTCTCTTAGGTTTTGTCGAGGCGCCTTTCTTCCGTAAGTCCGTTCCATCGAGTCAAGCAACATGATATTGAAATTCTGTCAGCCGGTGCTCTCTACCTGTTCAGCTCCTGGTACACAAAGAAAGAGCTTGCGGTACGCATCTCAGTCCTCTATGCAGCTGGTCAGATGGCAGGGGCTTTCGGTGGATTGCTGGGAAGCGCAATAATGGGTGGAATGAATGGAAAATTAGGGTTGGCGGACTGGAGATGGCTCTGTAGGTGTTTTGCATTGCTGTCCCCGATCCTCCGTCAGACTCATGAACTAACTCGGTGATGGGCCAGTCATCATCGAAGGCACGATCCCTATTCCTGTCGCAGTCCTCACCTACTTTACTCTACCCGATTATCCGGCTACGACGAAATGGCTCACAGATGAGGAAAGACAGCTGGCCACTCTACGCATCACAGAGGAGGCCGTTGAAGAAGACGACCGAGGCGAGGCGACCGCCTGGCAGGGTTTGAAGATGTCGTTTACTGACCCAGCGCTTTACATGATTTGGCTGATGCAGCTGGGATTGAACACGGCAGCTTCCTTCACCAACTTCTTTCCGACCATTGTTGCAACTCTTGGCTATAACCAGCGAAACACCTTGCTCCTGTCGGCCCCTCCTTACGTCTTCGCTGCCATTCTTGGAATTACCAACTCATGGCATTCAGACAAGCATCGCGAGCGATGGCTCCACATCGTCTGGCCTCAGGTCTTTTGCAGTGTTGGCTTCATCATCTCGGCCACTACCCTCAACGTCGCTGCAAGATACACCGCGACATTCATGATGATGAGCGTGTACGGCTCTTTCGGCTGCATTCTCTCATGGGTATCAACAACCCTGCCACGTCCGTCTACCAAACGAGCTGTGTCCTACGCTGTTGTCAACGCCGGAAGTAACTTGGCTAGTATCTATGCCAGTTACTTCTACCCTAAGTCGCATGGGCCTCAGTACTGGCAGGCCAATATCCTGAACGTCGCCTTCGCTGCAATGTGCATCCTACTGGCTACGATTCTACATTTCTACCTCCGCTGGAGGAACAGAAAGCTTCGTCGCGCTGGTGACGAAGACTTACAGGCCGACGGTGTTCGTGAAGGGTCTCGTTCAAGAGCTCTTGGGGAGCGCTGGCAGTGTCATCCCGCTTACCAGTACACTCTTTGAGTTGGAAGACCGAGGCAGTGTTGGCTCAAAGTACTTCATGCAGTCAAACAGGTAGAGCTATTTTGTAAAGGCTCATAACAGGTATTTGGCTTGAGCCAAGCCAATAGCCATAGTTTACGAATAAGGTGGTGAGAATAAGGCAAACGAGCCAGTTACTTCAATATGCGACGATCGGGATGGAGGTATCCCACATGGACACCAAGATCTGTCTGTCTCCCTCCCAGGGCTCCCTTCCATGTGATACCTGAAAGTTATCGACCAGCAACAAATCGCCTTCTTCTAATACCAGGCTGATTTCTTCCTTGTCAATGACATCGATCAACTTGTCGAGAAGGTGTCGCGGAATTGGTGTCTCGTCTCCATATACGCATGGAACGTCTTTCAACCCGTTAGCTCAATACCAGCGTTCGTTAACTCAGAAAGCTCACAGGTCATGCCATCTCGGCCAATGTGGGGAGGGTCAAGAGCTCCGATATCTCGGGTAATACCGTGGCGTCCTACAAGTCCATTGAACCAGACAGGTCTACCACTTGCTGGCAGTCTCCAAATGCCTGTGGGTGTCAGCTGCAGCCAAGCTTGCACGCAGTTTCATGAAGTTTACCTGGAATGTGCTGAGTCAACTCAAGAGTTCCATCCTCTTGCCAATTGAAGTCATCTGTCAATTTGCGCACTTGCTTTTCGACCTTTTGGCGCGTCGTAGCTTCGTCGTCGCCGGGGACCAACTCCTGCCCGAAGCTGTGCTCCCCCGCCCAGTTGAATGAGTTGACCTTCGCTTCATTTCCAGGTGCGCGGAAGACCATCTTCATTCCCAGTCCACGCTTGTGCACTTGCTCTACAAGCTCGGGAATCGCAGCTTGGACCTTCTCGAAGACATTGGCGCTGTTGGCGATGGGCGTTGCACCACCTTGATTGATGACCTAATTAGCAACTTCCTTCCCTTGCAAACCATTCATGTCTTCTTCTATACCTTTTGGCGCTTTTTTGACGCAGTAGAAGTGGATATTAGAAGGGAAGCGCGTGTATCTCGAGTACTGTACGGCATATGCCTGTTGAGTCTCGTAAGATAGTCATCGCAGGGAGGTTTCCATACCTCGTTATGTTGATAAAACCGCGTCAACGGTGAGCCTTCGTTCGCAGTCCATACATTCTCCGCCAATGGTGTTCTCTTTCCAGCCAAGCCGATCTGCACATGGGGACGAGAACCGCGGCCTTCCTCAGCGGCACCAACGAGCTTGGCGAACGTGTCCGCGGACGGGTGGCCCGCCCCACGAACTAGAACTGCGCCGTGGCGTTCCAGAAGCTCTTGAAGTTTGCCTGATTTCCCTAGCTTTCGCAGAGCCGCAGCTGTATCTTCGACGGCAGGGGTGGCAGCTCCTGTCTGCTTCACTTGGAGGCCATAAGGTAAAGTGTTGCCGAAGTAAGTCCGCGCTCCGGGGACTTCAAAAGTCTCGAACTCAATGGCCATGGTCGCTGCAGGCTTCTTGTCAAAATTTTCAGTCGAGATTGTTGACATCTACGCTCGCTTGACGTAAAAGAATCCGATATCCCACCCGCATTTATGCTCAAACATCAGTTGCAATCCTTCTCTGGCATCCTTCTTACCAACAATTCGGACCGGAGTCGGATGCGCCCCGGGTGAATCATCTGCCATATTCTCGGTGCCTGCAGCTTTCCCCCCAATAGCTGTCGTAGGCTGCGATGGCGAATTTGGGATGGGAATCACGACATTTTCGGGAAACCCCCGACATCGACCAGTGCCGCATGGCTGGGGTGATATTACTGTAACAGGCGACAAATTTCGGCAGCAAACACCGAATCCAAGAAATCGGTACCGTTTTTAGTTGGTTTGCTTCAGTAAATGACTCCTTGTTTCCCTATTACTCGCTGCGTGGTCAGCACTGAATTGGGTGATTCGACATCTTGGCTCCAGTATGGCGTGCTCTGTACCCCAGCTCTGCGAGCGCGGATGCATCGTGCTAGCTCACAAGTCGGGAACTATCCGTCGCTAGCAGATTTTCACAAAAGCAGATCTCCAAATGTTAAAACCGTGTTTTCTTATCTTTAGCTCTGGTTTCGTTGTCCTTGGCGACTTTTCACCTCTGAATCCTTGGTATCGAGTTGTCTACGATAATGGCTTCTGAGGGCGATGTTATCAAGAGTAAGTGAACATCGATAAACAGGGTTTTGGCTGAGGTGTTTGACGCTTATGCTAACGATGTCATAGGCACCCCGGTAATCAGTACTGCCAGTGATGGCGCTGATGACTCTGTCAAAGATGGTCAGCTGGGAGTTGTGGAAGTCAACGTGTTGCAGGAGCGGACAATTGGGCTCTTTGGAGCTGTTTCGCTTGTTGTGAATAAGATCATTGGCGCAGGGTAAGTTATTGTGGCTGCACGGTTTAGGAAGTGTAACATGGCTGACATTCTCTCAGAATATTCTCCACTCCTAGCACAATTTTCAAGCTGTCAGGAAGCGTAGGAATGGCCTTGATGTGCTGGGTCATTGGCGCTATTATTTCAACATGCGGTATCTTTGTCATGCTCGAATTCGGTACTGCAATCCCCCGATCTGGCGGCATCAAGAATTATCTGGAACGCGCATTCAGCCCCAGACTCATGCAAACATGCATATACGTCTTTTATTGCGTCTTTCTCCGTGGGTTCAACCCTTCCAACCTTAGCTCTTCAGTAGAGCTTCAAGTCCCGGTCACGTCATCTAACCAAGCTTACACAGAGGTTTCTGCAAGCAACGCCATTACCTTCTCTTCATACATCCTAGTTGCGGCTGGCGTTGATTCAACGACATGGAAACTTCGCGGTGTCGCCATCGCCGGCGCCATTTTCTCTGTTGGAATTCACACCGTTGCACCCCGTGTTGGCAGAGGGATTCAAGATGTGCTTTCGGCTGTAAAGCTGTTTACACTCCTCTTCATCGTGTGCTGTGGCTTTGCTGCCTTGGCGGGACATCTCAGGATTGAGAGTCCCCACAACTTCTCAAATGCTTTCGAAGGCACGTCGAGTAGCGGTTACAACATTGGCTCTGCCATTCTCAACGTCATCTTCTCCTTCCAAGGATATGACAACGTCAATGCCGTAAGTTGCATGCTACAACGCGTTCGAGACGTTGCTGACGTGAGAATCAAGGTCCTTTCTGAAGTTCGCAATCCTCAGCGGACACTTAGATTGGCTCTTCCCTTGTCTATGGGCGTCATCGCGGTGTTGTATCTCTTGGCCAACGTCGCATACGTAAGTGCAACCTCTGTTTAGAACTCCAATCTGTGCCACATTCTGACTTGGGCTGTCAGTTTGCTGCTGTTCCTAAGGAAGCTTTCATTGCTGCCAAGGTTACGGTTGCGGCAACTCTTTTTGAAAATGTCTTTGGTCCCTCCGCCGGAGCCAAAGCACTGCCAGCACTTGTTGCTCTGTCTGCCCTTGGACATCTTCTCGGGGTCGCCTTCACAATCCGTGAGTCACAATTGCCGTTGAGGCCTTGAACAAAAGCTGGCTGCTTTACTAACTCTAGTAATAGCCCGCCTACTCCAAGAACTTGCCAAGGACGGTGTTCTGCCCTTCTCCAACTTGTTCATGGAGAACAGACCGTTTCGAACGCCAATTTACGCTCTGCTTCTTCATCTTGGTGTCACAATTCTCTTCATTTGCGCGCCGCCAGCCGGCGATGCATTCAACTTCGTGGTGTCGCTATCCAGCTATCCGACAACCGTCTTGTTGTTTGCCATTACTGTCGGTTTGGTCAAGCTGCGCCTGACCGACCGCGCAAACTTCCACTCGCCCCTCCCCGCCCCTTGGATTCTCATCGTCATCTATCTTGCGGCAAACATCGTGAGTCTTGCCAAGATCCAACTCTTGTAAGGTTAATTGCTGACTCGGATAGTTCTTGATTGTGATGCCTTTCGTAAGACCCCCCAATGGAAGGGGGAGCACATCGTTGCCATACTGGCTGTCCTCAGTAGTTGCTCTTGGGATATTGTCGTTGGGAATAATCTACTACACCCTTCGTTTCGTGGTTGTACCGAGGCTGCTGGGCTACAAACATCAAGAAATCCAGCAAGAGCTGAGCGACGGATCCAAGGTTACCCGATTCCAAAGAATCAAGAGGTGAACTTTCATTGTTCAGGATATTGGCCCCACTCAGGTCTCGTAAATAATTATCCAGGCCGACTCAATGAGAATCTGTTCTTTCCCCTGTAACGCTTACCTAACTCATATGCTATTGACAAATTCAAGTTCGGGCTACTGGGGATTACTCTCTGCTGAGTCGCTGCCAAAGACAGAGTGTTCGACCCGTTCTCTCAAAGTGGCTGGCAGGCGGTGCAGATGGGACACGGCGGGACGATCCGAATACAATTTTGCAGGCATCTGCAATATGATGGTCCCAAGGGGTTGGCGAGGTTCAGGTTAGAGACTTTCTTGCCTATGTACTTATGTCAAGGCAACTAAATTTGAGCATTGGACACAGTCTTTAGTATCACAATTGTCATCAAATTGGTTCACAGGAGCTTCAAGAGTCGCGGACGACTGCCTGCTGTGACGTTGCGAAACACCGCCTCTCTTGGCGAAGCGCTGAAGCTGGCAGCGGGTTGTGGGGACGGACATTGGAAAATGCGTTGAGCTCATTGATGGAAATTCCGTTGAATGACATCGGCAGGCCGGGGGTGGTGCAGCTCGCCTATTTCGTGCCTTGGCAACGGATTGGTGAGAATTGAACGAAAGGCTTCCAAAAGAAGGCTGGGCCAGAGCGTAATACGATGGAGACAAGATGAGATCTGGCCTAGTGCGGCTGCATGGGCCTGACTCTGTGGGATTTCTGGAAATGAAATCAGAGATAATATTCAGGGACCAGAGATGACATCAACGAGGGTTTTCGGCTATGTGACGAGATTTCGGGACGATTTGGAGTGGAGTCTGCTGTTTTTTCGCGGGTGGAATCGGCATTTGGGCGCCCACGATGACAATTCTCGGCTTCAAGAATGGGGAAAACATTGAGCACGGATGGAAAAACGCCTGTCAAGCCAAAGGGTCTTGTTGAGACATCTCCAGTTTATTGCCGAGCAGTAGATGTCATAATAGTCTTACCGTGGAGCAAAACATCGCTAGAAGGCGAATTGACACGGTCTGGAAGAAACGGAGCCCTCCGACGGCCGTTGAATGTTCGTCATGCACTTTCCCGACCTCAAAGACAGACCATCCATCACATGCGGGCAGACAACAACACAACACAGGATGGACGGGCGCTGGACAGAACAGCCAGCCGGCCGCCCAGGCAGATCCGGGGGGCTGTGCGAGCGTCGTTTTGGTGTGGTCAAGGAATCAGGGATCAACAGACAAGTCGAGAGATAGTGGACAGGGGGCGCGACCAGCCGGCAAGCTACCTCGGGAATGCTGTCGTCGCCCTCACCTCCAGTAACTCAACGAACACACCTGAGAGCTGTGGTGCTCCATCACGGCCTCTTCTTTCGCCGTCCGCCGTGACATGGAACAGACAACCTCCGGACTTACCGCCTCCCCAAAAAGAAAAGTCAAGGACTCCAGCGACTCCAGCGACTCCAGCGAGGACCAGCGACCGTCACGTTACTGCACCCGGGCTGTGCCGATTACACCCCGCAAATCGGTCGACATCACCCCACAATCGACGCTCTGGAACGATGGCGGCGCCATGCCCAATTGGGGCTGCTGCTGAGCGTGGTGCCATGCTGGTGTCACACGAATACTGCCGCGCATCCCGCTTTGCCCCCTGCGGAGGTGCTCGTCCCTACGGAAATGCTTGCTCCTGTTTGGTGTGGCCATCCAATCCAATGGCTACCTTACGGATATGGCCTTGCAAGTTAGGGGATGGCCTGGTTGCTGAGGGGGTCTCATCAGATAGGCACGCCAAGGGGGCGCGGGCGACTGCGATGGGCGGGAGACGCTCTGGCGTCTGGAGGGTTCATTATATGAATGCATGGCCGCTGCCACCCGGCGCTTTCTTTTAGCCCGAAGAGATCTCTCCCATCCCTTGCGTTACATTCAACGGACCAAGATACAGACGAATCATACAAATATCGATCGACCCCCAACATCCACACCAACTCGAAATCATCACATACCATGTTCAGACAAGCCTCCAGAGCCTTTTCCACCAACGCTCGCGTTCCCCCGAGCTACTTCCTTCAGACCCCCCGCAGACTCGCCATGAGATGGTACGCGTTTCCCCTGAGCCGATGAACATCCAATATTTGCAATGATCGATTATGAAACAGATATACTGACGGATGTGGCAACAGGATCCCGCCCACAGTAGCAGTCGTGGCCGTCGGCTACGGCTTGAACACCTACCGACAAGCCATGGTCCAGCGTCGCATCGCCATGGCTGAGCAGGCGGAAAGACGGGCAGTGGAAGACCGCAAGCGTGCGGCAAAATTGATGGATGCCTACGGAGACCGATCGAGCCTTGAGGAGCTCGAGAAGGCGATGCAAGTCTACGAGGCTCAGAACCAGGTCTAAGAGACCCGCCTACCCACTTCACCAACACATGACGACGACATCGTCAGTTACCACCAACCCAACATCGAACAATTGTATCGATCACACATCGCATTGGCAAAGGCGTTTATAAGCGGCATCATTAGGAAAGGATATCATGGGAAAGTCTCCGGACATTGGAGCTGCACCAATTTGGAAGTGTGCATTTTTTTAAGGGATGCAGGAACGGAATGGCGTTACGGGCGAAGCACGAATCTGGCACGCATCATCATCAAGGACGTGTACATATTAGCATTCTGAGTACATATCGAACTACTCAACACAACAAACATACATCCTTTTTGTCACCACATCACCTCTTGAGATCTTGAATCGCAGCTCTCGACCCCTACGATGCTTCCATCCTGTGACCCGGCATAGCGTAGGGTCTTACCCCAGTACCCCGCACGCGTCTTGTGATGGCTAGAAAACACGGTGGCGTTCACGGAGCGTTGGGATGGTCCAATCCGGGAGCTCATCCCGCGCCGCCGTTCAGCTCCCTCGCGTAGCTGGAAGCTTGGCCCTTCAGCCACTCGAAGCCTTCGGTCGCAAATGCAGACACGAAATACGATGTGAAGATCGAGATATACGCAGTCGGCCTCGCTGCGATGCTTTCCCAAGCTTCCGAGCTTTTAAAACTGAGGGCTGCGCCGTAGCTCACGGACGACATGAATGCCGCAGTCTTCACCTTCCTGGGCGCGCCCGACTATTCATCCGTTCAAAGCTCGGTGTCGCAATTGCTCTCTGACATGGGGGGAGCTTCTTCGCGGTGAGTTGGAGTCTAAAGTTGGGCCCAAGATCGACCGGTGACCTAACTTGCGCAGTCCGCCACCCCCGCCCCGCGTTGCCAAAACGTTAAGCTCGACAACGGTATGGGTTCGCCACCTTCCTCCAATCATTTCAGAGAACGCACGACAGGCCATTCACTCCGCCATTCAGTTGCGCAATCTGTATCTGGCTGGGGACGACGCAAGCTCAGGACCCCGGGCTGTGGCTTCGCTGGTGGAGCACTTGAACGGGTTGGCCGATGAGGCCCGAGAGGCTGCCAACGTCCGTGATTATGTTTCTCTTGTGATTGAGTCGACAATACTCAGCTTAACGACTGATCTGGGTCCACCCTCGAGGATACTGTTGGGTTTGGCACGCGCCGTGAATCCATTCCTCAACCACCCAGATGAAGGGGCTGAGGCGGGGCCGAGCTCGATTGACGATGAGGCTTTGCCTTCCCCATTCAGACTGTCCGATGTGACACTGATTGACGACACGGAGAAGGACCTTCTTGTCTTATTTTATTATTGCGATCTTGTCAATCTCAAGGCCTCCCCTGACGAAACGGTCGCTCAGCTGACCAAGATGGCGGACAAATATGGCATAATCAAGGACCTCGACCTCCGCAAGGAACTGCTCACCGAGATAGAGGTAAGCTCCCTAGTTTCAGATGATGAGGAAGATATCTGATGACTTAGATCTACATTCACTGGGTAATGATGTACCTCACATCGAATGTCTCAGCTTTCGCTCCTCCGACCGCCCTTTCCGCAAGTCTTACAACCAAGCTAGAATTCGAAAAGGGCATCCAAATGAGTAGACTTCTCACCATCAGTGAGATGCTACTTAAGGATTCAAGGAGCGACCAAACTTGCTTTCTACTCATGTTTCTCAGGCGATGCGCCATAAATCAAGAAAAGACATGGTGGCGGTCGCGGGCGAAGGCGGTGTTAAAGGGATTGAAGAAGACTCGAGTCGGACGATCATCCTGGCACGTGGAATACGCAGAAAAGAACCTTGCTAGTTTAAAGAGATTAGAGGAAACTGGGGAAGAACGTTGGTCGCGGCGTGGATCACTAACGATAGGTCGGGAGCAGTTCGAGCTTGACAAAATCAAGGGAGACTAAGTTCCGTAATCCTCATGAACTTCATGACAATGTTATTTTGTTCATTGCTACAGGCTATTCTCAGAATTTTCCAACAGACGTATCCTACTGGTGATCACACTAGATTGATGCACACTGTTCATCGGGAATCACTCTGAAGAACTACCCGACTGCCCAAAACTACACGGCATCCGGCCGGTCTCCACCGAACCGATGGGTCCACCCGGCGAAAGCGGATGCCGGGTGGGCCCCGAAACCCTTATCAAGACCAGTAAGAATGCTTCTCGGCAAAACGAAGGAGCAATGTTGAGATATGACTTCAAAAAACTGGCAAGGAGTGTTCTATTTCTGTTAGTGTTGCGTACGCTGTTGAGCGCTTAGCAGGAGTCTCGAGCGTGTTCCTGGTTGGTGGGATGCATACCCCTGCAGCGCCAAGTCGACACATACGAAGCGGCTGTCGGCCTCAACCGTACCAACAGCATGTTTCGTTAAACGCCCGGTTCTAATGCTTAAACATAATGGAATACCGCCAATCGGTTTGTTCAAACCGCACGCCAGGTCATATTTGAGACGAGAAAAAAGACAGTTCGGGCTACGCGTGATCGAGATGGCAACAGATGTCTCGTGTTTTGGGATCTAACCTTCTGATCCAGACACCCACCCGTTGGATGCCCATCCCCGCTGACTTGGCTGCCTGAGATGGGGCGGCTACTGGATGTGGGATTTCGAATCCTTAAAGGTACCACTTTGGACATCAAAAGGATTCAGTGCTGTTTCTTTCCCTGGATGGGTCATATTCCTGTTCAATTCCCCCTTTTTGGGTCCCGTTGAGTCTGCTTGTCTTTTTTTCGTTCTTCTCACCGGACCTGCAGTCTTTTCTGCGTCTTCGCCATTCTTTTGTTGTAGTGTTCCTTCCTCAGTCTCGTTCATGCACTGAAGGAATACATTCACGATGCGCAACGCTACCCACATCACACTACTGGCCGCTGCAGCAGGAACGACCGCCCAGCTAACTTTGCCGTGGACAACTGACACTCTAACCGCCAACTACTCTATACCTGAGCCAGACGGCCCATGGCAAGCTCCTTGTGTGTTTATCAATGGAGTACCAACTCCTCTGTGGCCCAGTGGTTCTAGCGCTACCGTACTACTGACTCAGGATGTAAACGGCAGCTACAACCCCAGCACATCAGCCAACAAGACAGGAAAGTCACGAGGGGCGGTCGATGCATGGTTCAGTACATACTTTCTCTCAGGATCGTTCTATGGTTCCGAATACTACGACGAGGTGCAAGTGCGAACAAAGCTAGGCACGTCCGAAGAACTCGACGTGAACTCAACCATTGTCGCCGCCAACAACTGGAGAAGCAGCAATGCCGACATCAACGCCATACCCGATGTCATGCCTACGATCGGTTTTCTCGGCCTTGGCCCCAAAGAATCCCCGAGCGACGACAAAACGGTCGGTTCGATTTTGGAGCAGCTGAAGGCAGCCGGCAGCATCAAGAGATCAGCTTGGAGTTTACATATGGGTAGCGCAGCTTTGGACCTTCCTGGATCACTCGTTCTCGGTGCCTATGAGCAGAACAGAGCACTTGGGGACGTCGGCCAATTTGCGATACAGCGAGGCCTCCCGACGGTCTTTCTTCGAGACGTGTCCATGGGGACAGAGGCCGGCGCAGCCTCTTCCTTTCCAGCATCGCCGAACGCAAGCTTTTGGGTTGAGCCCAAAGGTTTGGGGGCTGATTACGTCAAAACCTTCGGCGGCGCACAAGGCTCGGCCATTGCAACACCAAACCCTGTGTCGCCTTACATATATCTCCCGACTGGCGTATGTGAAGCTATCGCTGAGAATCTGGGGTTGACCTACCACAACGGCACGGGACTCTATCTGTGGGAGTCAAGCCGCAATGGCTCTCTCCACGACTTTATTAACTCTCCGTCTTACCTCGGCTTCATACTTTCTGACAGTACTGCCACCAACTTGACCATCAAAGTGCCTTTCAAGCTCCTCAACTTGACATTGAGTGCTCCATTAGTGGAAAAGGAAGTCAACTACTTCCCTTGCAAATCGGTCGACGAGTCAATTGTTGGCCAATGGCAACTCGGCAGAGCATTCCTCCAAGCAGCATTCTTAGGCGTCGACTACGATAGCAACCTCATGTACATGGCGCAAGCACCCGGGCCTGGCATTGAACAAAGTATTGCGCAGAGCTTCGACGGTTCAATCATCAAAACGAATCCCGCCGAGTCATTTTCAAAGTCCTGGAACAACTATTGGACAATTACACCTCTTAAAGAAGACAACTTGGTCAACGAAGACAAAGGTATGACGGCAGGTGGTACAGCTGGGATCGTCATGGCTGCGATTGTCGGTGTCACAGTGGTATTGTGGTTTCTGCGACGTCGCAGAAAAAGAAGACAGGGTCCGGATGCTCCGTCGGATTACATTGACAAAGCAGTTGTTTGGTTCAACGTAAGGCGAGGGAAGAGTCCTAGAAGCACCGTCCCAAGTGACACAAGCTCAAATGCCGATACGGAAAAGGGATTCGCGATGGATCAAAAAGGGGTAAACGAGGTAAATGGAGATTATCTGCCGCCCGAGATAGGCGGACCAGAGTACGACGCCAAGGAGTTAGATTCAAGAGAAAAGCCGGCAGAGATTGACTCCAGGTCCAGACCAGTGGAGATTGACTCACGGTCGAGGCCTGCAGAGATGGCAACACCTTTCTCTCATGCCGCCGGCTATCCCAGACACGAGATGCCAGCAAATCCGATAGTATATGAGCTTCCTGGAAGCTTCGACAGGGTGGGAAGGTAATACCCAGGGAAAAGGCATCTTGATCGCGAGAGATGTCATGTTATTAAAGGGCCCATCGCGTGTTGTTGAGGTGTACAATATACATAGTCATAGTCTATCTTACTTCATCTTCTTTGACCTTACTTTACTTGGTATTGATAGACTTTCTTAAACAACTGAATGAGAGTGTATTTCTCGGACTTTCTTTCTATAACCATGCCTAGGCGACAAAGCTCTAGTTCTGCGCGAGTTTCTGAGCTTTCTATCGACGAAACAATATCAGAATTGCAGAGTCGGGTGGAACATGCGCATTTCTGTTCCGACTGGTTCCGCGAACGGATAAGAGTCTCCCTCACACTCTGCACCCGCATCGGGCAGAGTTCCATTCTGGAAGTAGGCTTTAATATAGCCTTTGGTGCACTTGGATGGTGCAGCAAGAGTTGTGTGCTGTTCGTCCTACGTTAACGAACTGGTACTGCAACATCCGCTTCGGCATGATACTTACGCCATATGAGTTTTGAACCAAAACTGTAGAGCCGGGAAAGCCGGCGGAGTTGTTACGGGCGCTAACCAGAGGTGTGATGTTGTCGAATTTGTTAGCAATGAACAAAATAGGATGCTTTGTCTTGCCCTCGAAAGGCCCTGTAGTGTGATCAGTTGACGGACCTGCTTAAAATGGGCTATGGTGAAAATTCCTACCATCAAATCTCCATTGCGGACGGATGTTTCTTTGGTTGCAGGTAATTGGAAATGGAACGTTGATTGATCCGGTAGCTGGGCTGAGTCCAATCAATTCTTCCGACTGTCTCTTGACCTCCTCCAATGTCAGGTTATGCACTGGTGGATGATCAGCACACATGATGACTGGAAAAGCGTCGGGTGTGCCGTCCAGTATCTCAGGGAAGGGCTCAAATGGAGACACCGGCCTTGGGGCGCAAAGCGGGGCAGTTGAGGGCCTGTTGGGGTTGTAGTGCTCGTAGTAAGGCCTTCCATCTCTCCTCTCCAGAGCAGCGAGAATCTTGGCAAAATTCTCAAACTGGTACTGTGGCTCATAGAGAACGGAGGAAAGGAGGATCTTGACCTTCGAGTACGTCACCACGGACGGCACGTCTGGCCCAGTCTCCTCATCTGCATTGATGACGATGGGGAGCGCCTTGATGTCCGAGAGGAGCTTGTTGAACCTCTCTTCAATCGCTTGCGAGGATGTTGCGTAGAAGGCACATCTGTCAGGGCCGGCCTGGTAGCAGAACTCGTAGAAGGCATACAAGACCTTATCCGTGTCCCTCAAGAAGTTGATGTGCTGGGAGTTGAACCACTCCCTGAGATCCACGTTGCCATCGTTGACCATACGCTCGACTTTGTCGGGGTACATGGATGCGAAGACTCCTCCAATTATCGTGCCGTAGCTAAAGCCCCAGTACTTCAGCTTGTCGTATCCAGTCTGGTGGACTATCTCAAGCATGTCTCGAACGTGAGATACGGTACCAATATGCTCAAGAATACCCGAGCCATTCATGGTATTCTCACATGCCTGAGAATACGCCGCCCCTCTGACAAAGCTTTCAGCTAAGGCACCCTCATGAGCATCGGGTAGGCCTGGGTCTTGCATCCCCCAAGTTTGGCGTTTCTGTGGGGAAGACCAGCACTCAATCCGGGGAATAGACGCGCCAACTAGCTTGCGTTAGGTCCCGGAAGACTTTACTCTTAAGTCATGTACAACTCACTGCCTCTTGGGTCGAAGCTGATCAGATCCTTAAAGATAGGTATTAGCATGATGTCGGGCGTCAACCACCTATCCGGGAGTTACAACGCACATGGTTCTCGCCGATAATCTCCTGCAAGTATTTGCCGTGGTGTTTCAAAGACCAAACTCCAGAGCCGCCGGGTCCCTAACCTAAAAGTTAACCCAGCTGTCTGAAGTTCCACGCGATATCGCTTACACCAGGGTTGAAGAACACGGGGCCTTTGTAGTTGGACTTGTCTGTAGCACGTATTCTAGAAACCGCAACAACAACTCTGCGGTCATCGGATGGTTCCAGCCAATTCATAGGGAGCTTTCGGAGCCAATTAGCACCACCATCTTCTCTTGAAGGGAACTTGAGAACTGACATCAAGTCTAGCACAGTCAAATCCTCCGTCTTCAAAGCACTCATGCCACTCAAGGGTCCTGCTTGGCTTGATCTGAAGATTGTAGTGTGTTAGTACTCAATGATCACGGTTT